CAAAAATGTAGAAAATGGGAAACCGAAAAAAAAGAAAGTTGGTGAAAATAATGAAGAGGGAAGCTCGGGCAAAAAGGACGTGATACAAGAACTACAAGAACAAAACCAGGAGCTCATAAGCGAAGTAAAAAATTATATGGATTACAAGGAAAGGGTCGATGCTCTGATTCGTACCTTGAGGAAGCAGGTTGCTACGTTACAAAAGGAACTGGAAAAGTACAGAACTGAGAATCTGTTTGACTTCAAGACTCGCAAAAATGAAGAAGTAAGTATATTACAGATATTGAAGTTAATAAGATAATATTTGAAAGACAATAACGATTACTCAACAATTCCATTTCTTAATTTTAATGTCGTATTGGGCGTAATAACCCCCCACCCCCCCACCCCCCAAACCTCTCATGCTTTACGACATCATGTTCTACAGCTTAATTCCAGCGTGTTTATACCACCACAGTACAGAGGCATGAATCTATTGGTTAAATTGTAGACTAAGCAATAACTGCATTTTCCCATGAAAATAGGTTTTATTGAATTCTCAGAAGAATTTAAACAAATCTGTTCTTAACTTTGTCTCGACATAGCTTCTTTGAAAACCCTCTATCGTCTCAGGGGTACTTTTCTGGAATTTTCCCATTTATTTATTTAGTCAAAGTGCTTTATTTCTTTTAGTTTTTTCAGAGTCCAATCCCAAAGGAATTTTCAGTGCCTACGAGGAGATTCTTTAGTGACAATAAAGGAAAGTCTTCTCCGAGACTTCGTAACTTTCCAGTAAGATATGATAGAACCGCTTCATCCATACCATCAACAAACAGCAACATAGGAGATGTGAGGGCTATGTCTACGCCGAATCCAGATCGTGAAATGGAATTTGAACAAGGCTTTTTGCCAGAAATCAGCTCCTTGAATCTGACTGAGGATATTTCTGACAAAGTAGAAGCAACATTAGAAGCTTCAACGGCAGACGAAAAACAAGATCTTTCTCTGAGGCAAAACGATAGTGTTTCAGAGAACGTTTATGGGAATGAAAAAGAAGATGATGAATCGAGTCTAGCCGGAAGTTGTCATACGAAAAACAATAATTCTGTAAAACATATTGAACAAGAAAAGCAAGACGCAGTCGACGAAAAGCAACATGAACAAGATAGTGAAAAAGACATGCCAAGAAAGACAACAGATAAAAAAGATAAGAATGATAATTGTATTTTAGAGGAAAATGAAACAAAGTCCACAAATAATAATGATTCAGAGAGCATTGAAAATGAATTTCCCAGTATTGGAAATAAGGAATCTCAGTTTGCACGACAACAAGCATCCAGGTCACGTGACCAAGAGGTATCTGGTCCTTCAGATGGTAGGAACGATTTTAGATCGAGTGTTACTAGTATACCTAACAGGAGTGCCGGGCTTGGAGTTGTACCTGCATATATCGGCCAAATAACTGGTCGAAGATCTTACCGGGCAAACAAGTCTGCCTCTCGTACCTATCCATTCACGAGGAAATATGTTTGATGCTTTTTTATGTACATCATACTATACTGCACTACTCAGTGCCATGTCTTAACATATTATAATATACCAAAACAACAAAACACAACACAACACGACACCATGTCATACCATACTATACTATACTAAACCCACTCACACTCACCATACTACTACACCATACCACACCACACAACACCATGTCATACCATACTATACTAAACTATACTATACTAAACCAACTCACACTCACCATACTACTACACTACACCACACCACACAACACCATGTCATACCATACTATACTATACCAAAGCAACTTACACTCACCATACTACAACACCATACCACACCACACATCAACAACCCTACAAAACACCATACAATACCCCATACCATGCCACATCGCACAAAAAAGCATCTACACCATACAAAACCACACTGCACTACACTACACTACCCCACACCACACTACTAGAATATTAGTCAATATTCAAAGCAAAAATTTATAGAAGATCTTAACGTCATTACCATGGCAACCCCTCAATGACGTCATTTATCAATTCTTCATTACTTGATTGGTTTTGAGGAACCTTAACAATTCTTTGCAACTAACCTTTAGAAATCAAAAATACCTAACATTCATGATAATCTTAGTTGAACCACATCTTCCGCACTTTTTTTGAAGTATTTTTTTAATTAAACTATTTGTAAAGTTTTGCCGTTATCTCGAGCTATGTTGATGTTTACATATTCCTGAGTTTCGGTGTCTGCGTTCTCTTATATTGAATGGTATTCCGGTCAATTATGGTATTTGATTTCCTTTGTGGGGAAGTCGTGACATCACCAGACGAATATTTTCGTTGAGGCTCGAGCAACTCGAGCAATATAATGTTTAACAAAGTTTTTCTTTTTTTCAAATCATTGCCTTTACTAACTCAAATCAAATTTTTAAGCGTACTGTGATAGTTGAAACCTTGCGGTACGTTTCCTATCAGTTGCTATGTATCGTTTTCCTCCTTATGCATCTACATTTATTTGCATGCTTGGTTACACAAACCTTATATTTCCCTATAATTTTCTATTTTTCCCTGTCTCGCTCGTCCTTTGCTATACTACAGAGCTAAATTGCKTTGCAATGCCTATAATCACGTTAACAACTTTCTCGAGCGTGCGTAGCGTTTGCTGTAAGTGCCAGTCCTCTGCTACACTACGGAGCTACACTGCTTTGCATTATAACATACCAACCAAAGATTATTTCTAGACGTCTCGGATCGTGTCATATTCGCTGATATTTGTAAGTAAAACGAGCTTACCGATGCAAGAGAACAACGAAACAAACTACAATTGAATTCCTTCGCAACGGGAAGCCACTAATCTGTCAAAAACCAATGAACTGCAATGCTTCTTTATTTTGTCTTTCGGAATTAAAAAAAAGCTGTGCATAACCACAATATCCTCAAAAAATATATATTTATTCTTAAAAATATATAACTTTATTCTAAAAAATTGTCATTATAGTTTTTAAAGTTTGTTAGCTTTTATTTGTGGTTGGGTGTGGCAATATGACAATATTTACATTTATATTTACTGCTTATTAATTCTAATTTATTTTGAGCACTCTTGGTCGTCTTCACCGGCGAAGCTAATTATCGAAAATTGCAAGGAATTTATGCTTGCAATTACAGTAAGGACACTCGAACCGTGGAAACTTCAAGGTTATTATATCCTGAATTTCTATTGTTTCAAACCCTTTAAAATGAAGCATTGGGTTCAAATACACTAAATGATCAACAGTAAATCTTATTTGCAACCGATTGGCTCAAGGGATGATTCACAGTATGCATCTTAAAAAAGTGACAAAAATCTCGAAGTTTCACGGTCCTCGCTGTAAAACTAGCGACGTCTAGTCATCAATGGATAAATATAAACATTTTGTAATAATCAATAATAATAAATAATTACCTTTTTTGTAGTCAAAGCAAGATTACGTTTACTCATTGTTCAAAAATCCAATCAGTTCTAGAATCGTGACTTAGACTCGTCTGAATGAAAAATATTCCTTCTATGAAGTTTGATTGTTTAGGAAAGCATTAAAAATTTTAGTTAGATATTTTTAAAAATCTCTCTTGTCTTTTCTATTTTTGTTCTAAAAAAGCAAAAATATTTTTCCATTCAGACACCCATTTTCTTATCTTTTTATATTGGCTTTAAATTTCACTGCTATTGTTTTTTGGTTGGCCTATTAAAATCCACTAACATGGGACAATTCCTCCAGTGTAATTATCGATCTAGGGTCTGCTGGTCTGAGATGTTTAGGACGCGTACATAAAGATTCTTTCAAGTTATTTTGACGCGTTGATTCAAATATGCTAGTCATTGATTCCCTGTGTAGGCACAAGACCACCTGCCTGCTTGGAGATATTATTGAAATATTTTCACTTGAAAAGAATTAATCTGAAAAAGAACAATAAACGAGCATAGCTTCTACGGAAGAAGGCATAAAAACCGTCCAAAGTTTTTGATATCTTCCAATCATAATCATGTTTCTTTTTAAAGAATATTACTCGGTGGTTTTAGCGCCCGACGCCAAAAACTCATTCGATGCATAAGTTCTGATATGTTTTTTTATACTCTATGCATTTTTGCATAAAAAGTTCTATACTTGGTCGGTCATAGCTTCACAGAGCATTACTCAACCAGATCTTACAGGGGGTCGTAAGCTTGAACCATAAACAGTGCCATCGTATCTACCAATCAGAACTCGAAGGGCCATTTATCGTGCAGAGTTTCACATCCACTCCTTCATTCTAGCTTCTTGGGTTGGTCTGAGAAACAACCAAGTTCATTGGAATACCAATCTTTGAAACTCTTTAAGGACGATAGTCAAAGTCACTTATACCACGGAAGCAAAGGACCTTAAAGTTGTGAGTATCGCCTCTTCATTTCTCATTTACACGATCTGTTACTTCTTAAGTCCTTAAGATATTAGGTTATTTAAATGATATTGTGCTAATGTTTGTATATATATGTAGGTGTGTTAGTTTAAAATAGTTCTTAGTATCAAGTAAAGTCTATTATAATTTCATAATTTCTCACAGTGCAAACTAAAAACGTATTGCAAATAAAAGATATTCTGTCGACGACAGCAAAAATATTTCCTTTTAAAGGTTTTTAAGAATATTTTTTGAAAGC